AAGTTTAAGAAGCTTTCCATAGTGCTCCTCCAATTTTCCACATTTCAATTACCTGCCAAATAAAATTAAGTATATGAGTGTGATTACGAAAATATACTCTTCATAGAAAATTGTCTCGAAATATTATTACTTTGATATCTGTTTTAAAGATTAGCTTGGTAAGATGAGCTAGTGATGTAAAATATGAATAAAACGTTACATGTTGTATGCTGTAATTCTGATTCTATTTGGTATTTTTAAAAAGCATATCGGTGCTAAAGTTTTTTCAAGTTTTGTTTTACAGGCATGAGAAAGTCTATAATTGCTCTTCAATGTGATGATAGCAGATTCATCAGTTTAAGGATGACTTCTTGATTATTTGTAACTGCAAAGCAATAATAAATACTTGTAGTATTTCTTGTGACAGTGCAATTACACATACCTGAATCTGTTACTAACAGTACTGGGGTGGGTTCTTTCTTTTTAAAAAAAGCATCTTGAAAGCAAGAAGAATGTTTTCTGAGGTCATGACTATATATTGCCACTTTTTGACCAGAAAAAGGCAACTTCAGCAGAATGAAAGTACTGCCTTGGTATGTGTCTCTCTCGAAAGAGAAAGAGGCATGTATGTCAAATATGCATGTCATTTACACAGGTCTGTACGAATACGTGTGTGTTTAACTAAATACGGATACATGCTGATTTACAAATGGATATGTACCCACATTATGTCTATAGACCACAGAATAATGTTTCACTGGAAGCCAGCCCACAGGGGAAACAGGGCTACTTGGAATCAGAGTTTGACATAGTAACATAGAAACATGACAATCTGCTTCCTACCTTGCTCCTGCACGTAGTATGCCAAAAACAAATCAAGCTCCTTGACTGATACTGTTATGTGATGTGGCTGGACGCAAAGTGCTGGATTTGTGCAATGTGGGGATTTCATGAGACGTTCTCCATCCGTACTTTCCAAGGGGATGCCTTTGAACAGGATCACCATGACTAGATCCAGACGCCAGACTTTGTCAGCCTGCCGCAGGCAGTCGATTCTCCTAATCTTGCCCTTCTGGTCAGGATTGGACAATACACAGCATGGGTGCTTCTTCCCAGTCACCGTGAGCACAAAATCCTCCCGGAACTCTTGGCGAATATCTTTGCGCAGCTTGGCCAGGAGCCTGGATGCCCACTTCTGTTTAATTTCAGGCTTTTCACTAAGTAGCTCATCCTTGACTGCTCTTTCCTCATCCTTTGACATTCGTTTCTCATGTTTTTTAAAGTACTTGCGTTTTCGAGCCTGAAGGTTGAACCAAGTATAGGCAATTGCACGGACATGTGGAAGAAGTGCCTCAATGAACGGGTGAAATTCATCCTGCGGAAAGAAGTGGAGGAGAAAAAAGAAGAGAGCAAGAAAACTCAAAGTCAGCAAGTTCTCATAATCAAAGCAGTATCGCAAAAGGTTATTGAAAATCTAAAAGTGAAATACAAGGAGAAGAGAATAAACACTTAAAATTTACACAAATTTCTGCATAACACCTTTGATGAAATTATTACTGTTATCGGGCACCAGACAAAAAAGTGCACAGAGAATCGCATTTTCCCCATATTTCATTCCTTGAAAGAACCATGTGAAGATTTTATTTTGTATGCCTTCCCTCACTTCATCCCACAATGCTGCAGAGACAACATAATTTAAAAGAGATGCTACCAAGATGTTTTGTTCCTAACATTTAAATATCTGAGTGAACAGCTAACATCAAGAAAAGTACCATTGCACAAAGAGGACACTATACAGTTTTAAAAAATCTGAGCAGAAACGTTCAGAAGGCTGAGGCGAATGGCACAGTTCATTTCTCTTCTCTGTGGCACAGAAACACAAAGCATATACATGCTCAGTGTAATGCCACACAGTTCCCGCTTTTGGAGCATGCTCTCAGCAAGAGACTGCTGGTGGCACAAAGAGCATGCGCCATTAAACTTGATCCATTTTCTTATCAAACGTCCAACATTCCAACACTGAAACAGCACCATTCCAGTGGTGGTAACTAGAGAAACCAGTATACAGTAAGGGAAAGCGGGCAAAAGACACAACATGTCATACACAAATCCTGAACAGAAGCTTCTGTACTTTCAGCTCTTTGGGCTTCCCTCCCACCACCCCCAAACTCTGTAAAATAAGAGTTTATGAAGGTGAGAACAAAAATTACATTTATGTCCTTCCGGCAGCTCCACTGTGGGTTTCGAAGCCCCACAGAGTCAGTTAATTTGTTAACTGATCACATGAGTGTGGCAATTATTCTAAACCCCTTAAAAATCAATCTGAGGTGTACAATGAAAAATGGCAACTTGGCACAAACTTTGCATTCTTTTTGTTTCTGCATGCTGTGGCAAAGAGACATTACGAGTCCACCGCTGGTCAAATGCTGCTTTTGCAAAATCCATGCAATTTATCTAGAGTTTCAAAATATCCCTTTCTGTCATCTGGCTTCACCTGCAAGTTCTTATCTTCTGTCTAGCAGCAATATGGATTGTATTAAAGAGGTAATTCTAAGTTGTTGTCTACAAGTACATCCTATAGCAATTAAATTAATTTGGTTTGTCTGCTTAAAGTACCATCCTACACATTCACGTTACTATCTAAATAGACCTTTCCCAAAAACTCCTTTTTCATGAACAAATCTGCTGTTTCAAACAGTGAAATCTGCTTATCAAACATTATTGCATTTCGGTTTGGACAGGAGACTTTAGGGAAGATATCTTTCTTCCTGTGTGCAGGCATATTTTGTTTTAAATACCATGCAGATTGCTCATCATACTGAGTGGCAGAGTGCAATCAAACTAAAACTGAACCTTTTTTATACAATTATATTCAAGAATACAATTAACAAACTACTATTTTAGCTATGCTGCTAGACAAGGAATGAATTATGTTTAATCAATAGGCTGATTAACTCCATTAGGTAAAAATGATGAAAGTATAACTAATGATCTCAATTATAGAGTGCAGACTGCCATTGTAGAAGCTTCAGGCCAAGATTTTCATGTCTAAATCTTCTAATTTCAAACAAACTTCAAAATTTCCTGAATGGTAAAAAAAATGCCCATTAGATCTAGTTACCTCTCTTCCCTAACCGTCCTCAAATCAAACAGAAAACAACAGAAAAGTTGCAGTTTACTTATGATCATGTTATCTTCACAGGAAAAAAAAAAAGGAAAAAAAAAAAAGGAGCAACAATATAGGAAGATATTTCAGGACATAAACAATTGCATTACAGTATGATGCTTGACAAAGACCCACAAAGGCAACAATTAAACTGATCAGTAGTTTCCAGCACAGATTTGAACAATTCTGATACTATACTGGCACATAAAACTAGGCCATGGAAAGAGTTAAACCACAATCTGTTCTTTGTGTGGGAAGGCAATACTGCTCTGAGTAACCACAGCCCATGATAAGACTTCCCTATCTTCATATGCTTTCTGATGCCATGCTTTTTTCCCTCCACAATTATAACTACTAAAGAAAGTTTACTTTTTCTTCTACAGAAGTCGTCTTAATGGAACTATTCAAATAAAATTATTTCATTATTTTAAAATTAATGTAAGCATAAAGAATGTATAGTATTAAATCCTCACAATTCATTTTAGGCTGAATAAAACATACTACAGATTTTGAAAATTCTAACAGCTGGGGTTAAAGGTGGGGTGAAGGCAGGTGGCTAAAGAGCTTTGGGAGAAATTAATTTTTGACCCAATACAGTGATTTCCCCTACACCTAAACAGACTTCAGCATTTATAACTTTTAATAGCAATAAAATTAATGTGGATATATTCTATGCTACTAGAATACTGCACATCTACTTTTCATTGTGAAGAAGAGCATCATAAACTATTTCAGAATGGTTATGCCTTGAGGTAATGCACATAGGATTAGCAATAATAACCTACAGCATTTTGCATCTATGAAAATTTTATAGAGAAGAATTCCACTGTTTAAATTCCAATCTGTAGTGGTTGAATATTTCCTTTTCAAAGAGAGAAGGAAAAAAAACGCAATACACACCCCCCAATCAACCCAATCCTTAAAAAACTGTATTCAGGCCTGTCTTTCACAGTATCATTAAGACTTAAAGATATAAATATATGTGAAAGACTATGAAGGAGAAACACAGCAAAGAACATCCTGTTCTGAAGCAATTTTATCAGATCTCTTAGAGAGATTCATTGTGCATCTGGAGTCTTTTCAAATGAAACACTACTTGACAAGAAGAAGTGCCCATAAAAATGATCCTAAATGGAGATTTGCAATTAATCACACACATTCTCCACTAAACCTCCTAAAAAGCCCTCTACAGAATTTTATTTTTCTCCCTTAATATTCACACAGGCAATATTGAATTATTTTTTGGTTTTATGTGGCAGTCCTCCATGTGCCACAGTTGCTCTTGCAATAAAGTGATTTTTGAAGGTAAGATTTTCAAATGTTATATCAAATAGCTCAGGTGAACCACTGTACACTGGCAATTTAAATTAAAATGGAAGTTACTATAGAACATCTACATAGCTTGCAAATAAAGGGAAGGGGAAAAAAGCAGTCATCTAATGATGATAGATAGACCAGATTTTCTTTTTGGAAAAGGTAAAGGAGAAATGCAGCAACCTTCTCCTGTCTTCCACTTTTATAAACCCTGTATCAATTAATGGAAATTTGAACTGATGACCATACAATAAATATACCAGACAGAAGTCTAAAAATTTCATACAGAAAACTTCACCTACCCAATTTCACTGCATAGATTTTCTCTGTGCTTAGTGAAACAAAATATAGGAGGAAAATAAAATACAACATATTCTGAGTTTCCAGAGTACCATAACATAAAAAAGAACCACGGCAAAAATATCACAAGAGACCAAGTACTAAAAGGCAAGCGGTAACTGCTTCTTACTCATGGCTCAGCAAGACAGATAAACACAGTTTACACTCCTTCCAAAACAGGGGGAAAGAGGCATATGGGAAGGAGAGGAAGGGAGTCCCCCAAAATTAAACTGCATTTGGTAAGTCTCCTTCTTCCTTGGAGTTATTTTCATGCACCAAACTTTAACTAAAAGTGTGATGGGTAGCACTCAAATTGCCAAGGTTTGTCTTAAAGCTGTACTTTGGATTTTAGACTTGCTTCTAAACAGTGCTTCAGCGCAGTCTCGGCACAAACTGAACTACCACTTTCACAAGGAGCTCAGACCAAACAGGTGTTCCATGTTTACTTATACCAAAATATTTTCTTTTGAACATATACTACCAGTCAGTATGCATCGCAAGAGCCCTAGAGACAGAAAACACAATAGAGAGAGCAATTTTGGCAGCACTACTTTAATGCAGTTGCAACTCACAGTGAGATGAATCAATCTTTTGCTTTAGACAAATAAGGAGTGCAAGGTATAAGTTTTCATTGCCAGTATAATTTTAATTTTTAATTATGTAGAGGAAAGATTATTTTTAAACTGTCTTTATCCTTT